CTCCCGAAGATCATCGACGTCGGAGAGACGGGCGGCATGCGCCAACATCCGCTCAATGCGTTCGAAGCCAGCCTGTGTTTCAGGAAACCCGCTCCGGAATCGCCGGCGGCGCGCGCCGCCCGAGTGGGCGCCGAAATCGCGCGCTCGAATCGGCGCCCCAACGAAGGCGACCACGTGCCCGAGTGGAAACGAGCGCGCCCGAATGGCGCCGCCATGAAAACGACCAGGCGCCCGATAGGAAACGATGACGTGATCGGGTGGAAATGCAACGAAGACGATAATGTGCCCGAGTGGACAATCACGCGCCCGAGCGGAAATCATGACGTGACCGCGCGGAAACCACGATGCGCCCGAATAGAGGAGGGCAGACCGCGCGGGACATCGCCCAGACTGCGACCGACCCGGGCGCGCCGAGACGACTGCGTTGATTCGGGCGTCGGTTCGGGCACCGATTCGGGCGCAGATTAGCGCGCCCATTCGGGCGCCGATCGGGGGCGGCCCCGCGCGCATTTGGCCCATCTGCGCGGGCGCCACTCCGGCACGGCCGCGCGAAACGCGGGCCAGCGGCGGGCGCGTCGGGGGGTCGGCCGCGCGAGCTCTTCATTCGGGCACGCCGCGGCGGCGGCGGCGGCGGAGGCTCTCGCGCCCACCCCGCGACGCGCGCCCTGTCGCGGCCGGTCGGCGCGCGGGGCGCGCCAGATGCCGAGCGCACCGCGCGCGCTAGATACGCCGACTGCGCGACGCGCGGCACGTGCTGCCCCAGCCGCGCCAGGGGCGCAAATTGCCCCACGTTCGCCGCTGGCCCCAGAAATGGCAGCGGTCGCTGCCGCGAGCAAACGCGGGCCGCAAGTGCCCCGAAGCACGGGCGAGCCGGCGGCCCTGACGAACCCTGCGCGACCACCGCGGGCACTCCGATGACGAAGTAACGAGCCCCTCGCCAGCCAGGGCGAGCAGTTGGGGCCCCAGCGAGAACCTTGCCACTGCAGGCCCCAGGGCGCATGGCCACCATGGACCAGCGGAGTAAACTAGGAGGGCCACTAAGAGCTGGAAGGGCAAGCGTGAACCGCGGTCATGACACGCCAGCAACAGCGCGTGGTCACTATGCAAGAGGAGGCCCCATTAGGCCAGCGAGCGCGACAGGCCACGGCGGGCCGCAACGAAGCCACTACGGGCCAAACGAAGCCCTTGCGGGCGGCGGGTCGAAGCCCGACGCATGGCACGGTATTCGCACCCGCCCCTGTACCAAGCGGAAAAATCACAACGCGGCACCACGCCGCGCGACGCGAGCAAGAAACGGAAGCGGGTCGGCCAGCGCGCGGCGGCCAAGCCGGGAGAGGACGCCCCAGCGGCCAGCCTCGGGGTCGTTCCCAGGGCTGGCGGATTTGTGCCAAGCAGCAACTTCGATATTCCGACCCCACAGCGGTTCCCCGACGTGCACAGCACTGCGCATCGTCGGGCGCAAGGATGGCGCGCCCCTGCCTCTGCGCGCGCTCCGGCGCACGGCTGAGCACCCCGACGCGTGGCGCGCTGCAAGACGCGCGGGCGCGCGCGGGCACAGCGCTACGCGCGCGCGGACACCGCCGGGCACGAACAACACCCCAGCACGCAGCACGACGCACGGGAGTGCCAAGGCAAGGAACTCCGCGCTCGCGCAGCTGCACCACTGGGCATAGACGATGCCCTGGGCGCGCCGAGCAGCACATGGGTGCGCGCAGGTGGCGCGCGCCGCGAAGCCGGCACCGACTCGCACGCGCAGGCGCGCCCCCCGCCAGCGAGCCCCGACGGATAGGACAGGCGCCGCGGTCGGGGCCACCGCCCACGCGAATTCTCTGCGCAAAACTGCCGAGGCAGATGGTGCAAAAGTCACCGCGCGGCCGCGCGCCTCGACCGAATGGCACATCGGAAGGCACAAGCGCGATCTTGCGGACGACGGCGCAACAAACGCGCCCGCGCGCCTGGGGCCGACTCGACAGGACAGCTCCCCCACGCGCCAAACCTCCGCCCCCGCCCCCCGCCTCTCCCTGCAGACCCGACGCGCCAAACCCGCGCCACTGAATGGCCGCTGCGAAACCAGGGTCGAAGCGCGCCCAGCCCCCCACGCGGTCCTCAAGCAGCGGGCGCCGCAGACATCCGCCGCCCAGGGTCGGGCAGGAGACGCTGGAGACGCATCAAGCCCCACCCCCATCACCTGCCGTCCTTGTTTCTTTCCCGCAGCAGACATGTGCACGTAACTGTCTGTTCGCTACTTGTCACGGCAAATGTATTCCCAGCCTAGAATGAAGCCAGGATCGGGGCAAAGTTTGACCAGGATAGAAATCGTGCTCGGTTTTTCAAATCACCGGGGGCGCCGCCGAACGGGCCTGCCACGCCTTGGGCGCCATCGGCTTCGCGAGGGAGGAAATGCGCCCCGGCGCGGACGAGGCCACGGCGCGCATTTGGCGACGCGCGCGCCCGAGGGAATTCAGCGCCAAGCGCCTTTCACTCCAGAAGACCCGACGTCAACAAAACAAACTTGAGGCCCCTAGGGGGCCCCAAAGAGGCGGACCGCCAAAACAATCACGCAACCAACGCAACGAACAACACGTGTAAATGTCAAAAAGCGCAGTGCTCAGTGACCTCTTCGGCCACGCAACACCGCGATAATGCCCAGGAAGGCATTGGAAAAAGTGCCCGCGCGCGGTCTGGCGACTTCCCCGCGCCGCCCCATGGTTCCCGAAGCGCGCCGAAATAACCGCAGAGAAAACCCCGGAAAGTCTTTGGAAGGCCCCCGCACCACGCAATTTCCGCCGCCGAATAATCTCGCGGACACCAAGCGCGCACGCGCGGGCGTCCACCATGGGTGCCCAGCTCCGGTTTCGGAGACAATCGCGCGCAACCGCCCGGGGGCTTCGGCAACCTCGCGATTGGCCCAAGGGCCCGCGGGCCCCAGGGAATCGAGGACCGAGTTCGCAACTCCGGAAGCATCGGGCGCGGCGCCAGCCAGTCGCTCGTCTCTGGCTGACAGTAGGACGCCTGGAGAATCGGTAAAACCTGAGGAACCGCTTTTCAGAGATTCACAGAACCAGAAGCCGGGGCGCGCCAAATTCTCGCGCCCGAACTTCTCTGAGAATCTCTGAAAATCTCTGAACTAGCCACCCCGCGTGAAACATTCCCACAAACCCAAAACCTTGGAGCTGGCCGAAATTCTCTGAGAGGTCTTCGGCCCGCGAAATTTGGCGCGCCCGGATTTCTGGTTCCGAGATTCTCTGAAATCGGCCTGCGGCGGAGCCCAACAGGTCCTCACGCGCCCACGATGGGGGCCGTGGACATCGCGGGCCGCGACGGTCCCGACCACGAGGTCCTTCCTCCTGCCCCTCGACGAGTCCGCGCTCATGGACACGCTCTCTGCGCGGAGCGTGGGCCGCGCCATCCGACGGTACTTTTGCGCGCCGACAGCCAACTGGCCGCCGACGGACAAGGCGATTCTTCTCCGAGCTGCGCGCGCCACCGAAAACGTACAATAGCCCCGGGCTCGGGGGAAAAAACACTTTCGAAGCATTTTCAGGCCGCCAGCGTCGTGGCCGACGACCCGCCGCGCGCCGACCGCGAGACCAGCTGGGTCCACTACGTCCACGGCGGCGGGCGGGCGCCCAAGAGAGCTGTCGCCGCGGTGCGCGCGGCGGGGCGCCCGCCCCACTGCAACCGCACATGCGGCCTCCATGGCGCCACAGGCGTAATATGTGCGACGCACTCTCGGGCCCCCCATCAGCGCATCGGCCAGCGCCCGAGTCCCGGAAACGCAACCCTACTGCGCCCCCCCGTGCAAGCCGCGCACCCGCGCCCAATGCTCGTGCACACTGGCTTTTCTGCCCGCCCTCAACAGTTCAATTGAGCGCCCATGTGTTACTTGGGCCCCTCAAGCCCTCGAAACGGCCTTGGGGGATTTCTGCGGATGCGCGCGCTGCGTTCCACAATTCGGCGTCCTATTTTTCTTTGGAACTCTCCCAGAATCTCTGGTTCCGATTTGCCCCGATCTTCCGCTCAACTGACGGCCCCCTCGGAGCTCAACAGCTGACCAAATGAAGATATCAAATTGTGCGGGACCTTACTGGAACGGCATGTTTTGCCGAATGCCAGTCGCACTTTGCGAGCGACCACATTCAACCGCGCAGTAAGGACCGGCCCGTGATAGACACGGCATCTTCTAAGACGTGTGGGATTGATCTGTACTGCGGGAGTCAGCTAGCGAATCATAAATACAAGACTCGCTGCCCCCTCGGACTTGCGGAGGCGATACCCTTGATCCGAAAGTTGAGAGCCTGGCCAAGGAAGTTATGCAACTGAATTATGTCACCAGTTCTTCAGACATTGATGAAATCATTGCTTTGCTTGTCGTTCCGAAAACCCAGTCCATTCGCAGAAAGGATGTAATACTACCTTCGCCGTGGGGTGCGATCGTACGTGTGCCCAGCGTATCGGTCAATGTATCCGACTGCATTATGTATGTGAGATGTACACGTACCAACTACTGGCAACTTGACATGTGGTGTTTCGCGACCATGCTGACTATTCATTGAACTTGCGGCACTCTGCTCTACTTGCAAATATGGAATGATATCCAGTTTGGTATGCTGCATTGTTTTGCGTGGGTCCGACGTCTCCTTTCTCTGCGTCTGGCGCTTGCGTTTTTCAAAATCACACTCTCGATTGGGAATGCGGCACATGAAAGCACATGTGCGGCACATCTGCGAAAAAGTGATCGGGGCCCTCCCGACTCCCCCGCCCCGAGAAACGGTCCGGCGAGGGCGTGTGCAGTCGCCTCGGGAACAGTCACGCACTTCGATCGACCCAGCGGCAGTTCTGAACCCTCAAGCAGCGGCCTGTGCTGAGGAGGAAAAAGAGGAGGAGGAGGAGGAGGAGGAGGAGGAGGAGGAGGAGGAGGAATCCCTTGGCAGCAATAGGCCCGATCGTACGGATCCGACGGTTTCCTGCCCGGCGGCGCTTGGAGATCCCAGGGGGGCCTCCGGGAGACGCTGCCGCCTCTGCCAGGCGAGGCGCGGCCGCCCGTGCCTTGGCGTGGAGGCTCCAGCTCCTCTTCCTAATTCGTCCTCCTCCTCCTCCTCCTCCTCCTTTTCCTCCGTTTCCTCCTCCTCCTCCTCCTCCTCCTTTCCTCCGTTTCCTCCTCCTCCTCCTCGTTCTCCTCCTCCTCCTCCTCCTCCTCCTCCTCCTCCTCCTCTTCCTCCGCCTCCTCCTGCTGCCCTTCTACTCCCTAGCGCTCGCGCGCCGCCCCACCTGCTCCAATGCAGTCGTGACCGAGCCCCCCGAATCTCCTCCCCCACCCCCTCCCCCCCTGCTTGGCTCCCGCGCCGCCCCCTGGAAGCCTCTGGGCTTTCCCCGGGGCCAACTCTGCATCAGGAGTCGCCTTTTCCGCCGGTCCAAGAGCCCACGTCTCCAGGACACATTGTCTCACCAGTGACGACCACATCCATGTCCATGCCCTCGCGGTCTAGAATCCGAAGCGCGACCCCATGGATACTCTATTCATGTCTCCAATTGGGGCATCCGCGCAACTCCGCCCTGCACCGCGAGGCCGTGGGTGTTGACATGTCTGTCACCCGCGGCTTCCCTTAACGCAGACATCCGACGATGTGATTTTTCAGTCCGCGGGCTCAAACCCAGACCACAACGCATTGAAAACCTTGATACAGAGGTTTATCTTCGCTTTCGGCGTATGGGGACCCTCGCACGGCCCTGGGACCGTCTGAAACGACTCAGGATGCAGATCGGTCGTGCGGAAAGGGTCGGGACTTCCAGGGACCCCGTATCGAAAAGACATAACGTCGGATCTATGGTTCTCTACCCCTTCCCGCTTCCCCAAGCGTAGCTTTTCGCCCTGGATCCAGCCCCTGGCAGTCTCAACCCGTTCCCAGGGGATCGGCTTCTCATCCTGGATCTTTTCAGACGGCTTTGAAAGCCCTGTAGGCTTGGCGAGCGCCCCCGGCAGCCGAGAAAGCCATTGTGAGATTTGTCACGGCGGGAAGGGGTCTGAGCTCTGGGGTCCAAAACCAACCCCTGGGCACGTCCTGGGGTGTGCTCCGACCAGAATCCCAAGCAGAATCCAGCTGGGGTGGGTTATTCGATAGAACATATAACATTTCGAAGGTCCACGCGGAATTCTTGGGTCGGCGCTGGATGCCCCTCCCCGGAACGCGGGGCGCGCCAGGTGCGGAGGCGCCGCCAGGGGGGGTCCCGCACCGATCCAAGAAATCCGCGCGGACCTCGGAGAACGCCTGACGCTTCTGTCGCTTGCCCAGGCCCCCGACGTCGTGATCTTTTCATGACGTAGACCCCCAGAGGTCTGGACCCCTCCCGGGGGACCGGTTCTGCATGCCGAGTCGGTTTTTGGAGTCCTGTGGCCCGCCGAAGGCCTCCGGGGGCCTGGCTTTGTTCCTCCTTGATTCAGCACCCCGCTGGCCAGAAGAGGCGCTGCCACCCCCGCCCAGCGAGCCGCTGCCGCCGCCCGGGAACGCGCCGCCGCCCCCGCCAACGGGGACGCCGGGGGGGCCGCCACCGCCGCTGTCGCCGCTCCCGCCGGGCGAGGCGCTGGCGGCCCTCCCGGGCAGAGCGCCGCCGACCCTGGCGGCAAAATTCAAAACCAAAAAGCGTCATGAGTATGATTTCTCTGAGACCCGCACATCCGCACGGACCTAGGATAAATAGGTTTATGTGTGTGATTGTTGTTCCACATTATGCATGGGTTCTTGGATATATGCACACCCCGCGCAGGAACCGGAAAAAAACACCACGCGCCATCCCTACCATCACACTACCACTGCAACCATCATCATCATCATCATCATCATCATCAGCATCATCATCATCAGCACCATCATCACCACCACCACCATCATCATCATCCCCATCATCAGCATCCTCATCCTCATCATCATCGGAGACACAATCAACAGCATCAACATAAACATCATCAACATCAACATCAACAGTATCAGCACCATCACCATCAGCATCAACATCGTCACCATCATCAGCAGCAGCATCATCAGTATGATCATTAACAGCATAAGCACCAACATCATCATACTAAGCCTTATCAGCATCGCCATCAGCAGCTTCATCGCCACAACCATCATCATCAGCTTCATCAACAGCAGTAACACCATCTGCAACATCAGCAATATCACCAAAACCATCATCACCATCATCATCATGATCAGCAATATCATCATCATAATCATCACCAGTCACATCACCCTCACAATCACACTGCTCATCGCCATCATCATCACCATCACCATCATCATCAACACCCTCGTCATCACCATCATCATCTTCATCGGCAGCAACTTAAACACCACCATCACCATGGTATTGCTCCTCATCATCATCAGCACCACCATCGTAAACCAATCATCATCAACAACATCAGCAGCACAAGCATCACCTTTATCACCATCAGCATCACAGCAGTCAGGAAGTATCGGCCAGGAGCCGCCTGGCTATGAGGCCCGCACTTCACGTTTGTATTCCAAGGCGGTCATCGGAAACTGTCAAACACAATGTGTTTCACGCCCGGCCTGCCGCAGTACCCTCGAGGAAATATCCAGCGGGCGCCCCTCCCTATGAGGCCCGCACAGTACATTCGTCACCCTTTTTTCGCCGGAGCTTTGCTGAAACCGATGAACACGCGACGCTCCAATCGCCGAGCAGGCGCGGTGCCGAGCTCGACCCACCGCGGCCTATGTTTCTGAGGGAGGGCGGGTGGGACCAGAAAAAGGGCTATTGATATGGGCATGCTCGGCGAATCAGAAACGAAAAACGTAGGCAACGGAATATCGTCACCCTTCTTCGCCAGAACTGCGCTGAAGCCGATGCACACGCGGCGCTGCACTCGCCGGGCAGGCGCGCTGCCAAGCTCGACCCGTGCGCCGATGATTCCCACATTCAGCACTGAGCTGGCGCCCTACGGCGCCGCCACTTCATTCTAGGCCAGAGATTGGTGGCCCAACCTTTCTTCCTAGAGTTGCAAAACATACAGGCCAGGATACGACGCAGCTGCGGTGGGCACTCGTTCTTCTGAACCGTTCGGAGGGAGGAGCCCCTGCGGGCCTCGCCCGCGAGCTGAGTGCGAGGCTGGCCAGAAAAACTGCAAATCCCGCGACCAGAGCAGTTGGCCTCGAGAAGAGGACGGGGAACAGGGAGGGGCCGGAGACGCAGGCGAGCGCGAGCTCGAAAGTCTCTACCGAAGGCGCAGCAGTCGATGATAGCGTCGAACACGTCTGGCTGGGCAGGGAAGCGCGCCCTCGAGCGCAGCGCCCAGAGAAAGGATTGAGCAGGGTTCTCCGCGCCGCCGGGGATCCGTCGCTCCAGCGCCAGGCGGCCCAGCTGCCCCGCACGGTCGGCCAGCGCGCTGCCCTCGGCAAGCTTGGCCGCGCCCCGCGGCGGGGGCCCCGAGAGGCCGCGGGGCTGCTGTGGAGACCGCAAGGCCGCGGGCGTCCGCAAGCCCGCTGGCGCCCGCCTGGCGCGGGAGAAGCTGCTGCAGGGAGTCCCCAGCCAGAGCCCCCACACGAGACCAGAGAAGATCCAGCAGACCTCCTGCACCCTAAGGTCGCGACGCGGCCCGCGCCGCGCGTCTATGCTCATGACAGCGGCGCCGCGCCTGCGGAGGGCTTGGCTGAAGTGCTCCGCCCCCGCGAACACCTCCAGGAAGTCCCTGCCCTCGCGAGGGCGGGCCTTTCTCGAGACAACCGGAGCTCGCCCCGCAGGTGCTTGGCAAGAACGCCTCTCGAGACTGGAGGTCGAGCAGCACGCGCGGGTCGAGCCTCTCGAGCTGCTCGCTGATCCTGGCGTGCTTCTCGTAGCGCTGGGCGCTGAGAGGCGATCGCCACTTGCCCCGCAGCTGGACGTCGCCCCAGGACCTCAGTCCGAGCGCCTTGTCGCGACTGGCTCCGCCGCGACGGAGCCCGTCAGGCGTGGGGCGCAGCACTTCGCAGCCCGCGGCCACTGCGGCCCTCTTCATCTCTCCCGGGAGCTCGCAATGCGAGATCGGGAACAAGCGCCAGAATGGGGCTCGCCGACCCTTCAGCTTGAGAAGGGCGCGGCCGACCCACTGGTGCTCGGGGAGGTCCAGGGCCGCGGAAGAGTCCACGAGGCCTGTCTTGGAGGACGCCCCAAGGTCCTCGGGGTGGAGGGCGATGCTGACCTGGCCCAGGACCCCGGGCATCCCGAATATCGGCTTGATGACCACCTGCCTCCCGAGCAGCACGAGACCCCCCCCCGGCCGGCAGTAGGTGGCGAACAGCAGGGCGATGAGGAGGCCCATCGGCGGCTTGCTGGAGGCGAAGAGCCACTCGGCGATGCTTGCGGCCACCAGCCAAGGGATCGGCGGTCGCGACTGGGGCGGCCGCAGACGGGCCCACCCTGCAGCAGCCTGGGGGGCCAGCGGGAACGCGGACCGCACGGTCAGCCCGAGGGGCGGCAGGGCCCAAAGCAGCGCCGACACGGCGAGCTTCCCGGCGCGGGGGCCGCCGCCGCGGTCGAAGAGCACAACCAGGAAGTCGCCCAGGTGCTCACCCCACTCGCTGGCCGCCCACTGGGGCCGAGACTTCCCCAGCAATGCAGGGCAATGGCGAGCAGAAAACATTTCGATCTAGGTTTTAGATAGGTTCAAAAGTAGGTTCGGGAGATAAGTTCGCAAGCATAGTAGGTTCCAGGAAGAAGGTTCAACGCGCGGGGAAAAACGCGCCATCGGGCATATAGCCCCCCGTCACTGGGTTTGCCAAAGCGCGTCGGCGCAAATGCCGCGGGCAGCTAAGTTGGCGAAGCGAATCCGCCAAAGTAGCCCTGGCAAGTGCACCTGGGGACGTTCCCTGGCCGCGGTAACCTCGCCAAGAAGGCTTGCAAGGGAAAGGGCGCCAGGGCTGCGTTTCAGGCAGGGGCCGCGACACTTTTCGCGCGATGCACCCTCGGGCGCTAAACATAGAAAAAGTTAACGAGAGCGGCTGCGGAGAAGACCTCCGCAAACGCGACCCGCCAGAAAAGGAGTCACGACAATGGGTGGCCCAAAAATCAATCGGGGCAGTCCCGGCAACTGGCACGGCGAACAACGCAATTCAAGGCATCCTGGACAAGCCGGGCCGCCACCAACAATCACCACCCCAGCAAAACCCCCATGCCGTGTCCCGGCGGGGCTCGGACACGCCATGGCTCCTCCTCATTATCACGGCCGCCCAGCCCCAGGTCATTCTGCCCTCCCCAAAGCCACTCGTCATCAATCACATCATGCTTCCCATCATCGCCCCCCTTGCCTCGCCATCCCTTCCCTCATCAGCCGCAGCGTCCATGTTCTCATCCTCCTGCCCCCGATTCTCGCCGCCCTCCCCGCCCCCCTCCTCCTCCTCCTCCTCCTACTCCTCCTGCTCATATCCCCCCTCTTGTTCCTACCCTCATCCTCCCTTCATCCGCCCCTCATCCTCCACCCGATCCTCCGGGTCCTATAGGTCCTCCTCCTCCTCCTCTCTCCTGCTCCTCCTTCCTCCTGGCCCTCCGATTCCTCGACCTGGCTCTCCTCCTCCTCCTCCTCCCCCTCCTCCTCTTCCTCCTCCCCATCCTCCTCCCGACTCTCCTCATCCACCTCCTCCTCCTCCTCCATTCCTCTTCCTCCTCCTCTACCTCCTCCACATTCTCCTCCACCTCCTCCTCCTACCTTCAATTCCTGACCCTCCGTGCTTCCAAAAACCATTTGAAGTAGGTGTGAAATAGGTTTGAAGTAGGTTTGAAGTAGGTTTGAAGTAAGTTCGAAGTAGGTTTGACGCAGGTTTGAACTAGGTTTGAAACCTACTTTGAGGGCTCCGAAACCTACTTTGAGGCTCCTAAAACCTACTTTGAGGCCTCCGAAACCTACTTTGCGCTACCGAAAACCGACTTTTGGGTTCCAGAAACCTTCTTTGGAACCTACTTTGCAGAAACAAATTCTGCAAACCTACTTTCCGACCTACTTTGGGGGCGCGGTCCCTTGAAACATCAGCGCGCGCTTGCCCGAGCCTTTCCCAGAAGTCGCCCCCGGGGGTGGCGCGCCAAAAAAGGAATCTGCGAAGTACCCCCAGAAGATGAACAAACCCAAAACACTTGTAGGTTGCCCCCGACAGGCAGGGGCCCCCCAAAGGGGGCGCCCCCCCCCCCCCCCGAGGGTCGAGGATCGAGCGCGCGATTTCGCTGCCGGGCGACAAGCGAACGCACCGCGACAGGACAGGGCCTTTTGGCGGCCCCCCCGCTGGCGGGCAGGGGGCCGCCGCCTGGCGCCCTAGGTTCTTCGGAAACCAAACCTGATGCGGCCGCCCCCCGCCCCCCGGGGCCCTCCGGGCCCGGCCCGACGGAGGCGCCGCTCCCCTTCCGTTTCTCTTTCCTCCTCCCATTTCTCTCCGCCTCCTCTCCTCTTTCACGCGTCCTCATTGCCCCCGGCCTCCCTCCATCTCCCCCCCTGGAAACGCCGCGTCCCCCTGCCCGCCTTCTGCCCCCCCCCCCCCCCCCCCCCCCCCCCATCCCGTTTGTCACCTTCTTAACCTTCCTGGTCCTCCCTCTCGCCCCCCCCCCCTCTCCCCTGCTCGGGCCCGCGGCCCTCGCCCCGCCCGCCATGCCCCGCTTCCCGCTGTGCTGTTCCAACAACCCCCAGTCTTCCCTTCGGGGATGGACGCGCCCCCCCCCCCCCCTCCTTCCGGGGTCTGCAGTGGGGGGCGGCGGGTCGCTGGAGCGCCCGAGACGGTCAAAGATTGAGCCGGCATGACCTCGCAGAATGCAACGCGGTCTCACAGATGGTTCAAGATAGCCCAAGATGGATCAACATTGTTTCCCGCATGCTCCAAGCAGCCCACATACCGCTCCGAGACCGCCCCAAGTGGCCGCGGAGCCACCCAATAACACCCCCGAGAAGCCGAAATCTTTACAAATCGTACGAGACACGAATGAATTGGGCCTTTTGGCCCATGTGCTTCCGAAGACTTTGGAAGCCTGAAGATGAGCCCCGAAGGAGTCCAGAAGAACCCCCCAAGACAGCGCACTTTACGAATTACTCGGCTGGTTTGCTAGCAGAAGCCGCGCCTTGCTGGCGGCATTCTAGCATTTCCCCGAGAAGCTTGTTTGGAACATAGCATTACTGACCCGATCCCGACAAGTTACTTTTGGTATTGTGTTTCCGACAACCTTCCCTGGACAGCTACTTTTGAACATGAATGTCGCATTGCTTTCCCCTGAAAGTTTCTCGCGACAATCGGTTTCGCCATCCTTTCCCTTCGAGTTGCCTGCGCCGACCACTGTTGCCAGGCGCGCTGCAGACCTACTTCGCCGACCTACTGCAGGAGCTACTCTGAACCTACTCCATTTGTTTTGCGCCTCAAACGAGCCCTGCATTCAAAAGGAAGTCTCGGCACTGGGGCAGCGGCGTGACCGCCAGCCAGCCGGCGAGCTCCTTCAGCGCCCGCGCGTGCTGCGCCCGCGTGGAGAGCCGCGCGCCGTTCTGCGCCAGCCTGGAAAGCCGCGGCGCCAGCCGCCTGATGTTCCGCCTCGGCGGCGGGCCCGGGCGAGGGCGCGGCGGGAGAGCGCGGCGGGCGCTGCGCCCCGGGGCCGCGCGTCGGCCGCCCTGGCCGCGGCGGCTGGCGCGAGCGAGCCCCCAGCCCAGTGCCCTCGGCGCGGTCCAGCCCAGCGGCCCCCTCGGCGTCGAGCGCCCTCGAGCTGGAGCCGCGCCACTGGAGAGCGACTCCTCTGCCGCTGGGCAGTGCGCGGCGGGGCCTCGGCGGGGGCCTGGCCGGCCAGCGCGGAGGTGGGGCGGCGCGCCCCCGCGGCCCCCCGCGGGCGCGGGCCGCGCGCCCGGCGTCCGAAGCCCTCGCCTCGAAGCCGAGTCGCCAGGGTTCAGCTCCGCGGGGCGCCAGCGGAAGGAGGGGCGGATGTCGGCGGCAATGTGGTTGGCGGCTCACCCCCGGCAGGCAGCGACGAGCGAGCAGACGGCAGCCCCCCCCTTGCAGGCAGCACAAGTGACCGACATGTTGCCCCCAATGTAGAGAGCACGACTGCGATGGCGATGGAGGGGGCGCACTGTGCGTCGGACGCACCAGGCGAGGGCCGCTGCCTCGAGGTTGTGAATTGAGTCTGGCCGTCGGAAGGCGCGGGAAGCCACTGCGGCCCACCCGTCGCCCAGCAGCAGCTCGCGAGGCACCTCCTGGAAGCGAGCGTGCCTCCCGAGGAGCAGAGCCGCCGCGTCGGGCAGCCTCGCCCCCCCCCGCCCCCCCCCCATCATCATGCATAGCGTGCTCACGGCGGCTGCCCCCTGCCGTGGCGAGGAGACCGCGGAAACAAGCGCGCTCGCGCAGTCGTCCCACGCGGCCGCCCTCCGCGCTGCCCCGCAGGCTATCGGCGACGCCTAGCCCCCACTCAGAGGCATCGTAGGCGGTCACCACCGGCAGCCACTGCAGGTCGGAGCGGGCCACGATGGTGGGCAGCAGGGCGTGGGCTCAGCGAAGCTCGCGGTGCACGCGGGCCACGGGGGCGCCCGGCGACGCCCCAGCTTCCGACTGAACTGGTAGACCGCGGAGAGGACGGAGAGCACGTCGCGGCGCAGCATCATCATGGAGAAGAGATGCCCGACGAGGCGCTCCAGCTCAAGGCCCGAAGGGGCAGCCCCAGCCCGCAAGACTGGCCAGCGAAGTGCACGGAGGAGGGGCAGAGTGGCAGTTGCTACGACGCGCGTCAAAGATCAGCCTCAGCAAGCCATCCTTGCGCTTGGAGGTCTCCTTGACGACGGTGGCCCTCACCAGGATGCCCTTGTCCAGGAGCTCCGCCAGAAATCGCCCGCACATGAAGCCCCTCAGCCTCAGCGCGGGATCCAAAGCAATGGCGGGCCCGAGCTCGTGCAGCGCTGCCTGCGCCTCCGCGGGATCGCGGAGAAGGCCGCTACCCTCTGCCAGCATGCACTGCAAGCCGTCTGGGACAACGTCGCACAGCGGCACCGCTCCAGCACATGACTGCGGCAGGGAGATCCTGCCAGGCTGGTAGGTTGCATCAAAACTGTCGGCCGCACTCGAGTCGACGCAGCCGCCTCCGCTACCCTGGAGCACCTTCCATGCTCCCAGGGGGTCAACGTCAGCCGGTGGAGGGCCGCGCCCACCGTGGAGCTTGGCCAGGGAGCGCACCGCGGAGGCCTGGGCGGGAGTCCAGCCTGCGCCGCGGATCGCCAGGAGAAGCCACTTGCACGTCCGCGGGCCAGCCACGGACCAGCCCGCCTGCGCCATCTCCGAAAGGAAATTCACGGCGTCGCCGAGCTCCCGGAAACGGCGGAAGCTCCGGTCGAAGCGCACGGGCAATGTGCGCAGGTCGCCGTCGCCAGCCCCAGAAGGGAGAGACCCCGCCGCGGCCGCGAAAAGGGGCCCCAGGTCTGGCACCGTGAGCACCCCGCGATCCCCGGAGGCCTGAAGCTGTCCAACCGATAGGTCGACCGCCTGGCCGGGGGCGAAGCCGTGGCGGGACTCCCCAGCCACCCAGGCCTACCCGGCGGGGACCCCTGGGGGGGCCGCAGCGGCGGGGCCTGCCACGGGGCGGCTGCTGCGCCAGGACCAGCGCCACCACGAGCAGGAAGCACGTGCTGCGCCACGAGGGCCTGGCTGGCGTCGGGCTCGATATCCAGGATGCCTTCGTTGTCGCGGACGTACTCCTCGCAGGCCTCGAGCACCTCTCGCTTCTCCTGGGCCGTGAGGTTGAGGAACCTGAAAACCTCGACGTTCGCCATGCCCGCGCCGAGGCCGCCGACAGGGCCCACGCGATGGACCCCGTCGCTTTCCATGTGATGGCGCCAAGCGGACGCCCAGAAGCTGCTCGTGCCACAGTGGGTACCCCTCGTACCGCACCAGCACCCGCGACCCCCGCTGGAGTTGAGAAAACCACTCCTGCCGCGCCTCGCCGGGACGCCAACCATCCTGCATGTCGGAGGCTAATCACCAGGACCGCGCCGAAGACGACGCCGCCGAAGAAGAGCCCCACGCCGACGAGGGCCCCGGTGGCCACCGGCGGGGGAGGCAGGGCGGGGCAAACCTGCCCGTGGAGCTGCTCCGGCCCGCACCTGTCCAGCTGCCGCTGCAGCAGCTGGAGGAGGCCCTGGTCTGGGGCGGCAGCCCACTCGCAGTGACAGTCGCAGCGGCCCCCCGCGGCCAGCCCGCCGATTGCGCGGGCGACCCGAACTTGTGACGGTGGAGGCGCCCTGAAGCACGCTGGTCAGCCAGGCCATACACTCTGGGCCCAGCCTGAACCAGAAAAAGGGCTATTGAGATGGTCATGCTCAGCGAATCAGAGACGAGAAACGTAGGCAACGGAATACAGTATTCGGAGGCGGCCATCGGAGAACATGTTAAAAACACCTGGTGTCTTTCACCTGGAAGCCTGAAACTCGAGGATGTCTCGAGCGGGAGCACCTCCAAGAGGTCCACCACGAGGGCCCGAAGAGGCAATAATCATTGATTGCCCGTGGGTTTTTGAAGGATGTCAGCAGTTGCTTCTTTTCAGCCTTCCGACGGCCCAAGAGCCCCCCAAGATATCCCAAGAGGTCTACAAGATGGCCCCAGAACGTCACACGGGGCCCCCAAGACGGCCCCAAGAGGGCCCCAAGACGGGCTAAGAGTCCTCCACGACGCCCAAGATGGCTTCCAAGAAGGCTCTGGAGCACCCCAAGAGGGACCCAAATCGGCCCAAAGAGGCCCCCGAGACGGCTTCTGACGGCGTCACACAGGCCAGGAGACCACCAAGACGACCCAAGATGGCTCCAAGATGCCAGACGGCCAAAGAGTCCCCCAAGAGGTCTCCAAGACTGTCCAAGAGGCCTTCACGAGGGCCTTCAGGAAGGCTGATCGGAGGAGTTTGGCAATTGCTTCTCTTCGGCCTTCGGACAGCCCGAGACAGCCCAAGAGCCCCCAAAGATCACCCCAAGACCGCCCGAGAGGCCTCCAAGAAGGCCCCAGAACGGCACACGAGGCCCTCAAGACGGCCTCAAGAGGGCCCAAGACGCATCCAACACGCCCAAGATGCAACCCAGGAGGGCCGCAAGTCGGCCCCAAGAGGCCCCCAAGGCTGCGTCCGACGGCGTCAGATGGGCCAGGAATGCCTTAAGACAGCCAAAGAGGCCCCCGAGAAACCCCCAAAGGCCACCAGGAGGCCCAAGGAGGCCCCGAAAAAGACTACAAGAGGCTCCCAGGAAGCTCCCACCCAAGAGTGCCCCAGAGGCTCCCAAGATGCCCCCTCCCCCTGCTCCTCCTGCTGCTGCTCCTCCTCCTCCTCCTCCTCCTCCTCCTCCCCCTTCTCGTCCTCCTCCTCCTCCTCCTCCTCCTGGTGATCTTCCCCGCCATCCTCCCCCATGCGTTCCCCGAAGGGTTCCCACAGCGGCTGGGGGAAGACATGATCCGATAGCTTGGCAGAGTTCTTGCCACACCACTCGGCCACATGGGCGATTCCAAAAGGCAGGGGCGGCGGTGATTCGCCGTAGGCGTCTTCGATAGTCAAAAGAACTCCAAAAGCCCCCAAAGAGGCCGTGATGAGCAACAAGCAACAACCGACAGTCCCCCAAAGGGTCGGCGGTGCGGGGTAAGCCTAAGAATCAAATACAAATCCAATGCGAAAAGCTACCCCTGGGGAAGGGATCGGTACCTCTGGTGCCGCGGATTGGAAAAATCAGATGGGCGGATGTCGGGGATGTACATGATGGGACAGCTGGTTAGTGCCGTGGCGACCTGCGTGGTGGTCTCTGACATTGCGCGGATCCTCCGGTCTTGAGCGGTCGCGGCCTTCCGATAACGCAGAGCGTGTAAACTCGGCCCGTCTTGAGTGCCCGCGCCTGGGTCGCCGCCGCGTCGACACGATACGAAGCTACCACTAGAGGCACGCGGCCGACCAAACATATGATACAAAACCTGGCACGAAACACTGACCAACTGGAATGGTCAGAGGGCGCCGAGGGTTGAGACAAGAGACGCATGTAGATGGGTGCTAGTTGGCAACCAGCGTGGACTGAGATTCTTCCCGAAGTCGAACTCGCATTCGAGCTCGGCCGCTGTCGACCGCACTCTGGTGCCATACCGTTTGAGCTTGCCATCGCCGCCTGTCGCGCCTCGCCTTCTTCCTCCTCGACTCCATGCGACTCGCGCCGGGCTCTGCGTCCCTTCTCCCCTGTTCGACCCTCGTATTCCTTGAGGGGGGAATCTGAAGGGTGGGAGCCCAAGGGGGGAACATCGACCTGGATAGCAAAACCGCAGGGTCCTGGGCGGGGTGGGCGAATGCCAGGTCCCGATTGGCGACGAATGGGTGATTGGGGGTCGATGCACCTCCCTCTCCCCCTGACAGCTGAGCCTGTCCCCCTGCAAACGTTGCCCCTGAAGTCCTGCGCCTCAGCTCGGGGAGGCCCCTCTCCTCGTCCAGCGCGCCGCCTCGAGGACCTCCGCCCTCCTGCGCCCTCGAGGACCTCCTCCCCCCTCTCTGGTGCCCGGCGACGAGCTCCGGGCCGGCCTCCTCCGGGGCCGCGGCCGACCTGAGCGCCGGAGCGAGGCGGGGAGGCGCGGGCGGGGCACGCGCAGGCCCCGCCTCTGCCCCGCCCCCTGCCCAAGACGAAGCCAACACCGGGGCAAGAAGATCGGGCAGGGGGCACACCTGGGGCCGGGGAGGGCGGCGCCGTGCGCCGTGGCCGTTCCACGCCTCTGGAACGAGCTGGAAAAGCTCCAGGACGCTCTGGAGCGATCCACCCCGGTCCTGGACGCGCGAGAGGTGCACTCGGACTGCGGGCGGGACCGCCGTTCTCCTTCCAGCGCGGCTTCCAGAGGCCGCTTTTTGGCCCCAGGGCCATCATGATGCTGACGTCGGGGTCGGCCGCCCGATCCGCACCCTGGGGTCCGCCCCCCCGACCTGCCCAGAAGAGGTGAGGGCCTCCTGCCCGACCCTCCGGACCTGCCCATGGAGGTCCGCCGCGGGAGCCGCCCGTTAGGGTCCGCCGGGTCGATTGCTGGAAGCCAGTAGGCCGACTGCTTTGATGTCACGCCCGCCCGACCCACCCGTCAGGGTCCGCCTGCCCGACCCGGTTGTCTTGCCATGGCGGGGTTTACCCAGGAGCTGACATGAAACAGAAAGTGTCCCTTGAGGGGGTACGTTCATAAACGATGGGATGCGAGTCAAGAGTCAACAGCTTTGGGGTATGCGTGGGGGATGGCTCACAGGCAATGCAGAGTGAACAGTTTTACACTATTGTAGTCGCTGCTGGTTACCTGTCCAAGGGACGAAAGTAATCCACCACCAGCATTGGCCCTGGCCGTCCCGAAGGGCAGCTGCGATTGTACTGCGCGAAGCGCGAAGTTCGCGTTCCCGCGCCGCCCCCCGGAGAGAAAGGAGGACGTGGAAGATGAAGATGAGGAATCGCGAATCGCGAGCCGCGACCAAACTCGCACACTCGCGGCGGCCCTTGGTCCTGGGCGCCGGGATGGTGCATACCTCTTGGCCTCGACCAAGAAGACCGATGGTCTTTACTCCATCCTAATGCCCAGGATGGCCCTGGCCGGCAAGGCATGGTGGCGGTGAATGGCAATCCCTGAGATCCGACGGCGCGGAGAGAATCATCGTGACAAATCACGACCAAAGCCCTGGACCCCAACCTCCTGCGGCACATCTCGAGCCGGATCGACCTATGAGCGCCCACGGGGCCCTCAAACCCGACGCAGAGACGTCCACCGTGAAACAAAAATGCGACGCCAAGACCTCGGGGATTCCCGTGGAAGGGGAATCGGCTGCAAGCAATGAGTCACCCTGGCCCCGAGGGGCCTGTGGTGCGCAGCCTGAACGGGCAACGGGGGGCCCAAATTTGTACCTTGCAGCCGAGTGCTGGGAGGGGGCCGGCCCTGCGGGCCCGCGAAGTGTCAGCCGTGGGGGGACAAATGGTGGGGATAACGCCACTCCCTGGATATTTCCTGGGATGCTTTACATTCTGGCCAGAATTTCTAAGATAATTCAGCCGCGGTGACAAGGTCTCTACGCCTCTTCGGGACGAGCGACGGTATCGGCATCCGCTCCTCCTCTGAACACTTCCCTGAGATCCGATGTTTCAAAAAAAATCCCACTTGCCCTCTGGGCGTGAGGGGTTTAGGGAAGTTCCTCTTCCAGCCTCCCTTCTTCCCTGTCGGGGAAAGGTTTACCCTTCATCCTACCCCCTTGGACCAAGAATGCACGTGCCGCGACCGATCGGAACGTCCACAAAAAGCCTCTGCGGAAAAAAAACATCCGCGTGGTTGTTCCATCGGATTTGGGCAACTGTTGGCCTCCTAGGGGGGCAAGGCTGCTCAGGGACCCGCCATTGTTTGATCGACCTTTTCCAAAATGGTTCCAAGATGGCCCCCAAGGCTCCCAGGACTGCCCGCAAAAAGGGCCCGAAGAGGCGCCAAGGATACCCCCCAAGAGGCCCCCAAGGGGACCCAAAGAAAACCCAACAGGCCCCCCGAGGCACCCATGACGCTCGAAGAGGGCCCCGGGACCGCCAAGAGGCGCTCAAGAAAACACCCCAAGAGGACCCCCAGAAATTCCCAAGAGGTATCCGAACAGAGTCCGAAAAGCTCTTTCGAAAAGGCATCTGGCCTTTGCGATCACCCGCCCATCCCTCCCCATCCTCAAAAAATATGGTAGTAGCCTCTTCCCTGGAGGCAAACTTGAACCAACTAATCACAGCAGTTAGCCGGGGCGGTGACACTTCAAACTTCCCCACTTCTGCAGAACACATATCATGCTGCACTGTCTACACTACGACGGCCTCTCCTCCAGGCGTACGAAAGATGAGTTCTACACACCCGACCGGCCACGATCAGCCGCAAAAGGACCTCCGGATGTGGAAAAGTGGTTCCAGTACTCTAATAAGACGCACGGAAAGAAGCGAATGTATATTCAATGACACGCATGAATAACGCGAAATGCATCTAAGCGGTTTGGAAGCATAACTGGTGCAAGCAGGAGGAGATTTTGATTGTGGCATAAGAGTACACTGCATTCCTGACACGCGATGCGCTGTCTAAGTGTCGCGGCGCACCGAATCACGCAATTGGTTTGACATATTATGTAGGGTACGTTTTCAATCGCAAGGACAAGCACCGTGATCTCAACCGATCCTGAACTCAGGGTACCAGACAAGCGGTTTGTACACCCTGGGTCGTATCCCAGTGCTCTTTCAGATGTGATAATCACGGAACTGTTCCTCAACCTGCCAATTTGCATGTGTTCTTGCACCCTGCGTGGTCGATGACTGTCCATGCAATCAGCTCCATGGGGCGTTCTTGATGCACATATTCACACCCACACCTGGTGTGCTGCTTGAGGTACTTGTCTAGCTCGATGGGACGTGTCCATGCCCCCTTGGCTTGGCGCTGGCACGGATGGGGCAACCCTCTCTGAATGAAAACTGCACATATGATCGGGACTGGGCCAGGTAGATTGCCATGGCCGCTACAGCCTGGCACCTCTAAACTTCACGACTTGACGATGGACACTCGCCTTCTCATTCGCAAGGAAACTCTATCGCCCCGCAGATCCCATCGCACCTGTTTCACTGACATCCTAGCATGTCTTGGTCCGCTTCATGCCACGGCCCATCCTGGGCCCATGTCAAGCCGACAGGCATCCGGATTGGCATTAAGTCTTTCGGTCCTGGACCGAGTCTGCGCCAGTTCAACTTCGGACGCGTCGCTGCTTTCTCTTTTGAGCCAGCGAAAGTCAACATAACTAACCAATGACGCAACGCGATCCCCATGGGCTATTCGTCTGGATCGCCGAGTCTTATGTTGAACTGCACATGGCGGCGCTGTTCCGCTATCAAATCCGCCATCACATGCGAAGTCTACGAGGCAGTCGCTACAGTTGCCGGCGGCGCCCCTGGCTCCGCGCATCGACGTTGAAAGTCTAATGCGCCCCCTTTGCCCGTGAACTTCGCCGGGTGACCGGGTGCAGATGTTTCCCTTTGGCGCAGGCGCACGGCGCAATCCATTCTCGCGCCCCTCTACAGGCATGCCCCACTCCCTCGGCAACGGCAATTGAGAAACGCAGTTGGAGAACTCCGACCGGAAGGATGGCAGCACCTACGTCACTTTGCATCGGTTTGAAGCTTGACCTGCTGGGCAAGACGGGATTGGCACTCTGGGCTGGCCTCGCTGCCCTTGTTGACATCAACCCACGTCGTATCTATGGAGCTTCGCCCGCAGCAGCCCAGCATTCCCCCCCCCCCCCTGTACTTCTCACCAAACGTACGCTTGATGCCTTACATATACAACCTCACTTGTTCCCCAATCAGAGATTGCTTGTTGGCAGCGGCGCCGGCTTCGGCGGCGCGCCCGGGCGCTCGGGCGCCCGGTAGCCCTATGGCCTCATAGCCCGGTAGCCCCATGGCCCTATAGCCCACCAGCCGAGCCCCATGGCCCCAGTAGCGATAGCGCCCTGCAGCCCTGAAGCCCTATAGCCCGAAAAGCATAGCTTTATAGCCCAATAACCCTGCAGCCCTATAGCCCCACAGCCCTAAAGCCCTACAGCCATATAGCCATGGAACCTTATAACCCGATCGCCCCATAGCCTTATAGCCCTAAAGCCCTATAGCCCGATACCGTTTCACTTCTTGATAGAATGTAACGCCCTTGCCGCGAGCTCTGGGTCAAACTCGCTCCCCAGCGCGTCGCCCCGCGCCCGCGCATGGCTATCTTCGCTGCGAACTACACATCTGCCCCTCCGGGACTGGGCGCACCTCTTCAGCGCTGCTAGGCGCCTCGCGCGCGCCTGGGAGCCCCGACGCCCCCCGCGCCGACGCGCGCCGCAAATCTGTCGACGAGGCCGGAGCTTGGCAAGTGAGACATCGCGGCGATATTGCAAGCCCCTTCCAACGTACTCTCTTCGCACGCTCTCTCCCCTTGATCTCGCTACCCTCTTGTCCTCGAGAACCTGGCTGGCGCGCGTGTCGCGATAACTCGGCGCGCGCATGGGCCCCGCAATGGCCCTGTGTTTTCTGGGGGCACTAGCCGAGAAGTGCCGCGGCCATTCCCGGCCCAAGCTATCGACGGCCCATGTCAAAATTCATGTCCCCGCGCATGTCCTTGTTGATTGCCATTCGCTCGAGCGGTTGACTGCAA